AAATAAACTTGAAAAAATAAATGTAATAGGAAAGGATCACGTAGGGGGGTCATGGGTGCATTTTTCCTTTTCTTACTTGAGAGTCTGAGTTTAAATTTTCTATATTATTTTGTCATTTGTGTTTCTTATGAACTTTTATGTACTTGGACAGAAAGGATATGGAGGTATAGTGTAGGGATTGCACATTTATTTCTTTTGTAGTTTGAATTGTTTTTATTGTTGACTCTATTACAGTTGTTCCCCCATTTCTCCTCCCTTTGCCTTCCCCCAACCTGCCCCCAGCGCCCCTAGGCCTTCACCACATTGTCGTCTATGTCCATGGGCTATGCATATATGCATATATATTCTTTGGTTGATCTCTTTCCATCCTCCTCACTCCCCTCCCCTCCGAGATCTGTTTGTACTTTGAATTTTAAGCACGGTTGAATTTGTCTACATTTTAACTTTATTATGTGATTTTGTTTATTTTTAATTCAACTGAGTATTTTTATTTTACCCTAGTGTATAATCCCTTGAAAAGATTTCAAATGTATGACCGATTTTAATTTATTGGAATTGTTTTTGCTGCTGTTTATAACAACTCCATACTTATTAAATTTGAACATTTCTTTTAAGCTAAAACAGAAAGAAAAAGCATAAATAACCATGACAAACAACCCTCTTCTGGTGTGGTCATTTGAAATGAAACAACCAAAAAAATTAATCAACTTAAATTTAGAAAAATTAGCTGATATAAGTTGTAAACCGGATGAGTAAAAGCTTTCACTTACTCATTCTTGACATTCAATTCCATTTATTCTTTGTAATATATTTTAAAACAGAATATTTATAAAGACTAAGGTTTGGGTTTCTATATCCTATTTTGAGGTTACTGAGAAAAAATGTTTGGAATCATATTCCTTTAATACAAATTCCATTTAACATACAAAGAGGAATAACAGAGGTAAAGATTTTATAGATACAAGATGATGTGTTTTATTAAAGCTTCATAATCGTAATAGTAAGAGTATTGTAATGTAGTTGCTTTAAAATAATTATTAATAATGATTAAAAACTAAACAGGATTTATATTAGTTGCAATCATCTAGTTCATTGATCAAACATTTCGTGAGTACTTATTATGTGCTAGGCATACAAAAGATGAATGAAAAAAAGAATTTAAATTTAGGTCTCTAAAGACTACAATTTGATTAGAGAATAGTTTAAAATAATCATCCTTTCTCTGTTTCTCTCAAATATCTATCTAGATATATCAAGGTAGTTAGATATATAAATAGTTCAGAACTGAGGAAAATTCTTGATGTCTTTTTAAAGTACTCCCTTTCTCTAGTACTCTTGGAAGACAAAAAAGATAATAAAATTAGAAGACAACTTGGTTGTCTTTCTGTCTTTCTATTCTTGGCTTGCCAATCAATTCTGTGATTGGAGTCATGGTTCTTATGTTCATATCCCTGCTCTAATTGATTTCTAGGTGGACATGCTCTGAGTTGAAAGATCAAAAATCTCAGTGTTTCACATTAAATACTATAACACTTCAGCTCCCAGCATCTGATCTCAAAAGCCACAAATTAGGCATGGTGATCTGAAGAACATAGCAAACAAGAAGTGGATGGTGCCAGGTGGGATAACCCTGTCATGCTTGTAACTGTAAAGAGCCATTTATAAGTAACCATGATTTTAATTGGTTTGATAAATTTTTATTGGAAATAGCTAATAATTGTACTCGCTGAAAAATGTTTATAAACATATAGATGGTATTCCAATTCAGGGAGAGTACAAGTGAATAGTAATTTTTTCCTATTACATGCATGCTCAAAGGGTAATGTTCCAGTTATTTGAAAAATTGCAGGTTTTTCACACTCCTAAGATGCCAGTTAAATGAGGTGGTACTATACCTCCTTTTTTGTTGTTGTGGTGGTGGTTGTTGTTCAAGTAAGGAGTATGCCTGTAACCTTCAACTGAAGGCTTACTCATATATCTAGAAAAATTCTTTAAAAAATAATCACAAAATACATTTGCAAATTTCCAAATTGTCAATTTAGTGTAATTTATTAGAGTCACAGATCTCATAGAGAAAGAGACAGTACATTCTAAGCTTATAAATAATATTAAAAATTATCCCAAATCATATTACTAACTCATCATTTTTATCACTACTTCTAATACCTCATAACCAGTTTTCTTCAGTGCCACCTTGTATACTCACTTGAAATACTATTTTTAAAATAAAATTTAAAATCAAATAACTTATCAAATTATTGGGTAAGAACAAAACCTCTCTTTAGGCACATGAGAAAATTCATTTCCTCTGTGCAGCTCTGCTATTACTCTTTTAATGGTTCATGCTGCCTTACTACTGTACTTTTAGAACTAACATTGGCAGAGATGGTAGGTCAAGTCTGAACTAAATTAGAGTATCAATATCACTATGGTCACAAAAAAAGAAATCCAGTAACACTCAGCAGAATTTTCTGCTCATAGAGAACATCTAAGAAGCATGTTATTCCCATGACTGCAGTATATATATGAAATCTTGACTTGGAAATACGGCTTTTGATTCAGATTGATAAAATGTAGTTAACAGCAGGGAAAAAATCAGGACTTGGCTATAGTGTTTTACGCACAGAAAACAGCAGTGTTATTAGTGGCTTAATGTTAAAAGGATAAAATAGTGTTTCCTCTGTATCTGTTCTGATCAAAATATTAATATTTTCATCAATGCTTCATATGGTAGAATAAAAAAAACAAACTTCTTGTATTTGATAGGGTGCCCAATCTGGAGATAGAAGAAAGCTAAGTCCTTAAAAAAAATAAATTATGAATAAAATATGGACATGATAAAAATAATAAAAGTACAAAAGGGTCAGTGCAGAAGACATGTGGGGAGAGAATCTCTCAAGAGTGACCAACTTGTTCTGTGCACATAGAGAAGAAAAAAGGACTAGAAGTCAACCTGAATATAGTAGTGATTTTGCACCTAGTTAACTATAAACTACATCTCCTGTTCATTATTGTTTAGGCCCGCATTGGATCATCACAGCTAGCATTATACTCCACACTATAGGAAATATGTGGGACTTAAAAAAAAAAAAAAAGTTCAAGTAAATGAAAAAAAGTAGTCAAGAGATTAAGTAATAAACCAATGGGGAAAGATTAATATATTCATTGTTTCATTTCATGAAAGCACACACTGTATGCAAGACACTGTGATAGGCCCTGCCTGGATGAAAGCCATAATACTTGCCTATAGGAAGCTTACAGCCTCAATAGAAAAGAGTGACTAGTACACAGAGTGTATGCTATGCACAGTGCTAGAAAGCAGGGCCACCTAACTCTGCCGGAGGACTCGGAAGGGTTCCTGAAGAAGATGAACTGAGTCATAAAGGTTATAAAATAAACCCAGAGCTTAAAAAAAGAAAGAAAGAAGTGAGTTTAAACCCTCATTGGGCTGCCCTGCAAGAATTGGCCAGTCTCAATACCCATGGGGTAGAGATCTCAACACCAACCACCATCAGGAAAAAAGTAGACTAAAAATAATCTGCCCAGCAAAACGCATTTGACAAGGAGAGTTTGTCTTGGTCTGTGCTCCAAGCCAAATAGTGGGAAGGGAGAGAGATTTGCCCTTTTAAAATTTGTGCTACTTAAGTGTTCAAAAATCCATAAGCTAAAAAGTCAACACAAGGATCTCAGATTGATAATATCTCTAAGGAGGCTGGCAGATACAGAAGCAAAGTCATTGTGGAGGGAAAGACTTTCAATCCAGAATTTTTCAGATAAAACCCCATTTAAAATGAAGTTACAGCCCACAATTATAAAGCACACAGGAAACTGTCAAAAAGAGAACCTCAGGCAGCCCAACAAGCATCACAGGTATTGTCACCCAGCCTCCTCCTCTTCCTGAACTCAAAGAACTAGAGGGACTGTTAGAGACTACAAAATAAGTCTACCTAAAATGCTCCAATATATCAAAGACAAACTTTAAAACAGGAGAAAAGAGCAAGACACTATCTTTAAAGACTGCAGGATAGCTTTCCAGCAGAGTGAAGAGCAGTTACAGATGTGGGAGTCCCAATTGATTAGTACTTGGCAGTCACAGAATTGGGAGAAGGAATTGGGAGGAAGATGACCAACGTTTGTGTCATCAATGTCTTGCATACTGTATTAGTGAGGACACTTGTTTGCAACTGACAAAACTATCACATTTGTCTAGGGCAGCAGTTCTCAACCTGTGGGTCACGACCCCTTTGGGGGTCGAACAACCCTTTCACAGTTGTTGCCTAAGACCAACGGAAAACACATATATAATTACGTATTGTTTTTGTGATTAATCACTATGCTTTAATTATGTTCAGTTTGTAACAATGAAATTGGGGGTCACCACAACATGAGAAACTGTATTAAAGGGTTGCGGTATTAGGAAGGTTGAGAACCACTGGTCTAGGGAGTATTTTGTTGTTGGCTCATCTAACCAAGAAAGGCAAAGGTATAGTCAGAATGACAAGAACTAGAGACTCTCAATCCTTCTCCATCTCTCACTGCTATTTTTTTCTTTGTCGGTACTTCTTCCTTCTTTTCTCCTACTATGGACTTTTCTCCAAGAAGTGGAGAACATTGCCTCTTGCAGTTTTTGGTTCACACCTTTTACTTTTTCTTTTCTATTTTTTAAATGGTTGTGAAATATCCATTTTTAAGTGTGAAGGTTATTGGCGTTAAGAACATCCACATTGTCATGCATCCATCACCACTATTCATCACCAGAACTTTTTCACCATCCCAACCTGAAATGCTGTACCCATTACCCAATAATTCCCCATTCCTCTCTTCCTACAGCCCCTGGTAACCACAGAAGTTACTATGAGGCTCAAAGAACTGACTTCTTCATTTTATGTATCTGATAAACCTATAGAACTTTGTAATATCAGATAGTTGCTATAGCTTATGTACTTCCATACTTTTGCAATAACTTAGACTTCTAAATGTATTTTTTGTTTCTTTTATAGGACAATGAAGGTCAAACAGCTCTACATTATGGTAAGATGTTTCTTAACTATTAATAATCATTTGAAACTTTTCTCCATATGTTTATCTCAACTTTGTCCAGCACTATTTAGTGCTTAGAAAAATGCCTGGCTACTAGCAAAGATACAGTAACTTTTTTGTTTAAAAAATAGATAAATAACCTCTAATATTGAAGATATATTAAAATTATTTCTTTTCTTTTCATCTTTATTGTTGAAAGTATTACATAGGTCCTCCTTTTCCCCCCATTAACCTCTTCCAGCCCTCTCCTATCCTGTCCCCCCCCCCCCAGGTCCTCACCACCCCATTGTCTGTGTCCACAGTATATTAAAATTCGTATGGGCACATTCATAGTGAATTGAGCATTTTAACTCATTTCCCCTACTAACTTATTAGCATAGTTAAGTAATCTTTATTTAAGTCACCTATAAAATAGAGGATAATGGCTTTAAAGAGCTACTGGGTAAATTCAATGAGGTAAAAGATATTGAAGTATTTTGTAAAGTGTAAAGTAACTAGTAAAAGTATTCTTTTTTTTTTTGGATGTGAATATTGTTGAATAAGAGACAACCATCAATATTTAAATCAGATAAAGGATCAACCACCTTCAGACCTTTTGGGAGGGAATATATTAGGCTATTTTACTAGTTTTGGCAATCCCAGATCACCCTTCAGTGGTAAGTAGCCTGGGTGCCCCTGGGCACTTTTGTCCACTGCTTAGTATTTGCTTGGATGTCAAGCACCTAACTTATTGGGCTAGCTGTTATGGTAACTTGACCTGATAAAAAAAAGATTGAAATGTCACCAAATGCATGCCCCAACTCATTTATGACTGTAGCTAGTATCACCTGGGTATCAAAAACCAGCAGGAAGTCTGCTTCTAGATATATACCCTAGAAATACTGCTGGACATGTATATAATGAGACATGATTAAGAACATTTTTTGCAGCATTATTTATAATAACCAAAATTTTTTATTAATCTTTATAGTCCTCTCTGTACTGTACTTAAAATATTTGTTAATTAAAATTACATATATATAATATACATACACACATTTCCTACATTTGCAAATGAAAATCTCAAGTCCAGAAAGGGGAAGTGACCTTGACAGGGTAACACAAGCTGTAGGTAGCAGAGGCCAGACACTTGTCCAGGTCTCCTGGTTAAACTTCCAGTGCTCTTTTCATAATTCCATAAATAATTACAGTCCTAGTATCCTTTTAAAACAGACATTATTTTGTGGAAGATGATCTCTCCTAGAAATAAAATAAATGAAAATCCTTTACCATTGGTCACCTCAGTCAGTGAATCAAGGCTATTTTTCAAAATCGTATTTGTGAGTAAACATATATTTCAATATCTGTGTCTGTCTTCACACTTTTATAGTCTTATTTCTGTTCACTGAGAGTTTAAACATTAATAAAAATTATCCCTGATTCAGGAATCCTGCCCAAAATTGATAATTGATCTTGTAAAACAACCTCTATTTCTATCTCTCATTACATTATTTATTATAGAAGGAACAAAATAAATATCATATATGTTACAATCAAGATAATTAAACATAAAAATAATACCATTAGTTAGAGGTTTTTGGCATTACAAATATATAAAACTAAAATATTCTGACAACCAGGAATGTTTCATGAAATTAATATTTTAAGTTAATAATCACTTATAGGAGTGATTCATTTTTAATTTAGATTTCTTTTTTAACCAGGTCACTAGACTTTTGCCAGTTTTTAAGTTCATCCAAACAAAGTCTGGCATACAATAATAATAATAATTACCATTTATTAAGTACCTACCAAATGCCAGGGAATCTGCTGGGCATAGTTTATCTTTTTAGTCACTTAATGTTATTTAACCTTTTTTTATTTAATAGGTACACAATAGCTATTTGTTGATTTTATTTTATTTTAGGACCCTTAACCTATTCTTGGGACTTTCATAAAACTAAAAGTATAGTTAAATCCAGGGAGTGCAAAGACTATGTTGGGGATGTCTTGGGGGCTTAGCTACTATTTTTTATGAATTACAGTTTGGCTTGACAGCTGTCCTTGTGTTGACAGCTCTTCTGATTATAGCAGTTGTCAAACTCCATCCTTAAGCAGGTTGTAAATCCTGGCTTCTTCTGATTAAAACTGGGTCAGAGCCAATGGCAGGTTAACTAAAGGCCAGTATTCTACTGTACGGCCATACTGGTTCTTTCCAAATGGGCTTTGCATAGCAGCATACTAAAATCCTTATTTGCCTCAATTTTACTTCGGTGTTTTTGAATCTTCAGATATTGGTCCTCCTGTTATTTTGTAATTAAACATGATCCTTGCTGAAGAGTATATTAGTATAAGTGTGGTCTTCCTTGTAAATGGCCTGTTAGCCTTCCCCTCCTCTCCCTCCACTGGGAATACTAACATCATTGCATCTGTGTCTCCCAGGGGAAATCAAGGCTTTTCCTTGCACGTGTAGTCATGTGATTTCAGAGTGGGCAGGCTTTGTATCCTCATGAGCCCTCGGTCTTCCACGTAAAGCACCATCTGTTCTGTTCCTTCCACGCTGTTACAGGGCAGTGGGAGGAGGCATTCGAGTGAAAATAAATAAAATAAAAAAAGAAAGAAATTCATCATCAAAACCCGGAGGATTAATGGAGTCAGAAGGCTCACTGCTCTGAATGAAAATTCATCTTCACCTGTGCCAGTGTCAGGGCTGCCTCTGTGGCACTTGACAAATAGAGGTTCCCAGGGTACCATAAATTCAGCAACTGTTCTTCTCCCTGTGGACTTGCTCAAGCTTTTCTGAGATGGGCTTATGACTGTTTTTGTATTTCCCAGCACATTGTGGACACCAATATATCCCCTCATTAATTGGGTAAAATGTTAGCCCCCTTTCCTTCTCACCCCTCTCTCATCTTCTTTGCCTTTATCCATTTTGAGGGGGTGGGCAGCTCACACGTCTCTAAAAGAGGACTCTGACTCATGAATAGTGCTTCACTGAAGATGCCAAAGGCAGAGAAATCAATTAACTAATGAATTTTGAGCAAACACTAGGTTCCCAGCACAGTGCTAGATGGAGGAGAGAGAATAAAAAAGCATGAAATCAAGTAGCTCACCATCTAATTGGGGGTTCAATGCCTATTTTTAAAAAAAAGGCAAAACTATTTGTTGGGCACTTATCTGTGCCAGGAGACTCTGCTAACCATAAACATAGTTTATGCCTATCAACAGTGAATCTCCAAGAGGTGGTGCCGCAGTGCCCACCTTATACTGGGTATGATTCACCTGTGTGGTTTCCCTGTCCTGTAAATCAGTCTTTCTCTTCACTTCCTTTTTGTCTCTACTACAGCTTCCTGATTCCTTATACTCTCATGTCAATCTGCCTTTGCATAAACCCCTGGCACTTGTTAATCAAACTCCTTTCTTTATGGATACCATATCCCTTACTCACAAGTACTATTTTGTAATCCTTAAATTCCAAACTTAAATCTCACTTTATAGTTAGACTTGAGCTAAAATTGTATTCACATTTGTTAGGTTAAGGGGATTGTTATACAGCGTCGTTAGCCTTTTCTCAACTGGTTAGCTATAGTGCTCTAGCTGTGGAACTTAAAATTTTAAGCTCCACTCCTGGGTTAGTACTCACAGATTATATCATCTCTCCCTTACTCTTACAGCATCTATGAAATCAGTGCCCCTTTGTCTGAGATGGTCAGCTTAGTGTTTTCAGCCAGAGTGCACATCTACTTACCCTGGATCTTCATGCTTAGTATCTCAAGTGTTGGGTTAGATTTGAGCCAATAGTGGTCTGACAGATCATTCTAGTTATTATCCTGTGTTGCAGATTTATACACTGGGAAATTTATTCCTCTGATACTGCTTTAAAAGTTCCAATCTTAAAACCTAACCAAGTGTTTCTCACAATAAGTTGAGACTGATAGCTACAGCAAAAAGGTTAAATGATTATTTCTCAAAATATAAATGTCATGCAGCTAGTTCTATGCAGGAGAAATATCCTCCTCTCACAGCTACTTAATATTAGGCAATGTGTCCTTAACTTTGTTATATTTTGTAAGAAACTGTCTTCCATTGGAATCTAATTTGGTGTACAGTGATTCATGGTATAATGTTCATTATATTATTTTGGGAGATAATTTTAAATTCTCGATGGGATGTTATAATTCTAAACACTTTCTGTTGAATCCTGGGCCTTGGTAAATATATCCAGTCTTCACCTTCTTCCCCATCTGCGCCAAATCCCAAAATATGATCTCAATCCACCAATACCTGCCCCAAGTATAGAATAGGCAATTTTATTCAGTCATCAAATATATAGTTTTAGTGGCCATCTAAGAAACCATAACCCACTGAAGGCCTCTAGAGATAGGGTTCCCAATTGGTCTGATTTTAGTTCAGAAAAATTTCTGCCCTCTACCTCTGTTCACTTAGAACCATCTCTGACCTTGTGCTATTATGGATTAGAGTTTGGTGCCTAAGTTTGTCCCAAGTTCACAACTCATCCCAACCTGGTTTGGGCTGTTGACTCTATGCCCACTTCACCTCATATAGCCAGGAAGCCCTGAGCTCCACCAGGGGAGTGAGCAGTTATGGGAGCCAGAGAAATTATTTTACTTGAGTACCAACAGAGAGCAAAAGAAGAAATGTCATACTAAGTCATTTAAAACCAAACTCCCAGAGAGTTCTGCTTCCATGTAAGATCCAGCAAAGAAAACTGGATTGCATGTAAGATCCAGCAAAGAGTGACAAGCCCCTACAAGACACACAGACTATTTCACTTTGATGGAGCAACTGAGGAAGAGGCAACCACCATAAAACAGAAGAAAAAAACCACTAAAATTAACAAATTCTTCAAGTGAGCTAAAATGACATTTTAGAGTAATTCAGACCCAAGAAGAGTCCTCACTGCAGTGCTCTTTATCGTTAACTGATGCTCTTAAGAGAAATTGAGAACAGAGAGAGCCGTCCTCTGTGGCATACAGTCGTGAAACTCTGCC